GGGGGGGGGGGGGGGGGTGGTCCAGCAGTTCCTGCTCTGCTGGTAAGGCCCTGTGCACCACTGCTAATGGCCCCAAAGCCCAGGGGTTTGAGTGCCCATTGGAGGAGGCCTCCCCAAGTTTTCTTGGAGAGGCGCAATAAGTCTGGCCCTCCTCAGCAGCCCTGAGACGTCTCAGCTCTTCTCAGGCGTACCCTGGCAGATGCCCGAAGCCTGCCACACACGCATCGCACAGGGAGGCTGGGTTCACGTGGGGATGCAGAGCTATTTATTCTGCCCAGATCGCTGTCTCCAAACATCTGCTCCAGATGTGGGGAGCACAAAGGAGTCTCACATCGGCCTGCAAGCTTGCTGGAGGATACTGGAAGGTGATCTGACCCATTCACTGTCCAGCAGAGCCCAAAATCCCCCCTCCCTCCCATTCACCTGGGCTGGCACGCAGACGTGTTTTCTTGAGACCCGCGTAAGCGGAGCTAGAGCACGTGTGCGTGTGGGCCGAGAGCCAGGATGTGGCCATGCTGGAAGGCGGTGGGGCAGGGACTCCGTCTCGACATGCGGGTTCCCAGTCAGCTGATAGGGGCAGGGAAGGCAGCCGAAGTCACTGGCTTCTGCATCTGGTTCCTATCAGTGATGATCCCGCGCTGGGGACAGAGCACTCATTAACGCGGTGTGTGTACACGGCTCTGTCTCGCGCACACAAAGAGGCGCATTATGCTGTCTGGCAGGAGGCGCGGGGCTGTGGTTTCTTACATAAGGCAGGGCGTTTTGTTTGGACGTCAGGGTTACCTCTCTGCTGCCGTTTCACACCGGTCAGTGCTCCCTGCAGCCGCGGCCGCCTGCAACCGTTTCCTGCTGCCAGAGCGGGGCTAGAGCTGGGGGCAGGCGCAGCACACCCCTCAGCCTCCCAGCGCTGAAGGGACCAGGAAGAACCACTACTGCGACCGGCTGCTGCAGCCCAGGTGCACAGCGGAGCACTGCCGGGTGCGTGGGGTGTCCACATCCCTCGTGGGATGTGACTGAAGGCTGCACCCCCGGGCCTGAGCAGAACCCAGACGCTAGGCTCTTTGCAGCCGGGCTGTGACGCTGCGGCACAGCGCTTTGTTAGCGCCTCTTTCCCCTTTGCCACGTTATTAACAGCTCGTGCCAGAGCGGGGTGAAGCCTGTCACATCCCCACTTCCCTGGTGCTGAGGTGGGGAAATAGCTGCATCCTGTGGGACAAGGAGCCTTCAGTTGGCCAAAGCCCAGCCTAGAAGTCGGTGTTGAGAGATGAATGGGGCCTAGCTGCTTGGAGCAGGCAGATCTCAGGCTGCGCCCAGGCTTGCCTTGGGCCATGCTCTGTTGAGGCCCTGGCATCTTGTGGCTTCCCGGCATCCTCTGCTTGCCGGCCTGGGCACAAGGAGCACTCGTCTAGGAGATGCACTGAATCGCGTCAGGCTCCAGGGAGGGCGTCCCTTACTGAGCCCGGCCTGGGGGGCCTTGGGGACCAGCCCTGGAGGCTGAAGCTCTGGAGTGCCTGATGAGGTGACCTAGGCAGGGACACGTGTGCCCCAAGGGCACGGCCTCCAGGACTCTCTCCTTGGTCCTGCGGCGGATCGGACGGGACACGGGGAACGGTTGCTAGTGGTTCCAGCCTAGCTGCTGCGATTTGCGACTCATGACGGCAAGCCAAGGAGCTGATTGCGGGTGGAGCAGCACGCCGCTTCTCAGCTTACCGCGGCGCTGCCCAGCTGCACAGCACATGTCTGGGATGGGAGGCCCCGAACCGTCCCTAGCACAAGCATCTGAGTGGGGGGAAGACCCTTTCTGCAGGGGAAATCCACCTTCACCCATCGCCGGGGGCTGTGCTGTCGAGAGGACGTGTCTGGGTCGGCCAGGCCTCGTGCCAGGGGTCCCAATACCCAGAGCTAGCTTGGCTCTGGTCCCCGGGTCCCCCTGGAATTAAGACCAGCCCGGGGGCTCCAGCTCGGGTGCCTTTCCTGGGGGCAGTGTCTGAGCACCTCTGGTGCGAGGCATTCAGCGTTCCCGGAGCAGGAGGCTGGTCGGTGTCGTTGGTGCGTTCCCTGTGGGGCTGAGCCCTTCTGTGCTCCTGGAGGTGCTGGTGAGGACCCACCGCTGCCCACGCATCCCACGGCATGGGCATGCCTGCCAGCCCCGACCCGGCCCACAGGCAGCGACCTTTGCCGGCAGGGCCTGCGGGGCTCTCCCTTCACCTACCGCAAGCCTGGCTAGATCCTGAGAGGCTTCACCAAGGCGTTGCGTGGCACTGAGCGTGACCTGGCCAGCTGGGCACGAAGCTTTCCTGTTCCCATCGGATCCTCAGGTCTCGGTCGCCAAGGAGAGGCCAAGAGCAGAAAACAAACTCGGCAGCCTTGGTGGTCGACCAGGATCTCCGTGCCGCAGGTGCAGTCAGTCCAGCTGGGCCCCTCTCCACCAAAGAGAATGGCTGATGTCTCCTGTCCCGCTCCAGGGAGGAGCCAGGCCCAGCACTCGCCACGATCCTTCTTCCTGGACCAGGGTCAGGAGCTTCCGTTTGCTTCTCTCCCCACGCGCTGAGGTGGGAGGTCTCCGAAGCCGGCTCTGTGATCCCAGTCCTGCTCCTCTTCGCAAGGGCTGCTCCCAAGTGAGCAGAGGTCCTGTCTCAGGGATGAGGCATCTCCGCGCAGCTCCCAAGTTTCTGGGGCTGCCAGCTTGGCTTCCGCCTGGTCGGGATATCAGAGGAAGGGCGTTCTTTTGGGGTTCAAAAGATCCTAGTGGGATCCTGTTGAGAAACTGGCCAGACAGACCTGCAGGTCAGAAGGGAGTAGCTGTGAGGGCTGCTAGCGGCGGGGTGGTCTGTCACACTTGAGGTGGGTACAATGGCCCCCGTGTCGTGTCCGGGGCCTCCGGCTGCTGTCGCAGCTTTCTGCCCCGCAGCCGGACAGCAGCCCCCTTTGCTCTGCGGTGTTGAACTCCAAGTGCTGTTGATGCTGAGTGGGGCAGTGGCTTTGCTGAGACCTCTGGAAGAGGAGGCTGGGGGCTGCCTTGCAGTGCCTGGGCTGTGCTGTGCTGTGGGTGCAGCGATGCCGTGGGTGCATGTGTGCCCTCCCCAACTGCTGCCTTGGGTGTGTGTTGTTTTCAGCTCTCCTCAGCTGCATGCCCGGGACCTCTGCTTAGACTGGTCCCTGCTCTGTATCCTGGGATGATGCCATTTGGGGCCGTACTTTTGGCGCTGCTCCACTCACGTGAGCAGTGGGGCCTTGGAGGGAAACCCCAGATCCCCCGAGACCTTTGATGGGCAGGGGCAGGCTGTGCTGCTGCCATGGGAGCTGGGAAGCTGCTCTTTCACCTCTGACTGCTGCACAGCTTCCAGTCCTCTGGGCTCAGGGCCCGCAGGGGAGAAGCCGGCTCTAGACCGCAGGGACCGGAGCTCATCTTCCTTTCTGCTGCATTGATCAAGCTGGTGGCTGACTTGCTACACGGCACGGTGCTGTTTCTGGTCCCACACCCCTTCTCGGCACTGGGATCGAGGACAATGGTTGGGATGAGCGGGTAGCTCGGTGATGGGATGTCTGCAGCAGGACACCGAATGGGGGGCAGTGGCCAGGCCGTGGTGCCTGGCTGGTGTTGCTGCATGCAGCTGCAGCGGTGGCCACGTGTGCATGGGGCTCTGGGAGCAGAGGGCCTGGACCACTGGGGCTCTTAACTCTTCATCCCTTGCTGCTAAGTCCTGGCAGCAAGAAGGCCCGTGCACGCTGCCTTGACGGGCCGGGTAATGTAATACCTCCTTTGCAAGGCACTGCTGGCTTCTCCCTCTGAATCAGCTTTCTGTGTGCTGGGTCGTGTGCCAGCCCCGCTGTCTGCGCAGCCGCCCTGGGCATCACAACAGCGCTCTTGTGTACTCCTCTCCCGGGGCATTTTTGGTGATGAATGGGGAGGGTGAGATGGGCCTGAAGTGCTGCAGGAGAACGCCTTATCCATCAGCATCTGCACCGGCGTCCTCCTCGGGGGTGGGATGGAGGCTGGCGGACAGGCCCGTAGCGGCTTTCTGTGCACCAGCATTTGTGAATGAGTGACAGCAAAGAGCGCTCCTCGGTGCGACGCTGGAGTCTGCTCTCTGCACACAGTCTCCCCAGGGTCACCTGCAGACACAGGGTTGGAAGAGTTGTCAGTGATGGGCTGGGGAACGAGGGAAAGTTTCTGCTGCGGCCCAGACGCCGAGGCTTTTCCCTTAGGTTCGTGGAGAGAAACTGAGCAGAAACATCAAGAACCCTTTGGGCACAAAGCTGGCACGGTGTGAAATCCCACCCGGCCTGGCTTCCTACTGTGGGAGGAAACCGGGGATCTGCGCTCCATCCTGCACCCAGGCCAGAACGCAGCCCTGCTCGCGGTGCTGACACCAGGTCCTCCATCGGACCATGCCTCCAGCAGCCCCTGCCCGGCTGTTGGCACATAGCTTCCTCATTGCACTTCAACCTCAGCTCCCTTTATCCCTGGAAAGACTGGTCCAGGGGCTGAGAGCAGGCCGGGAGCTAGGGGGTCCTGGGGTTTGGTCCCCATTGGCTCCTCTGGTCAGTCGTAAGTGAAACAAGGAGAGCAGCTGCCTCCCCAGAGCGCTGCAGGGGCTGGTCAGGGTTCGCGCCGTGCCCATGGGAGCTAAACACCGAGGAATTGCCCTGCTCTGGGTCCCACTGAATGGACCGCGAGGGGCCAGCCGCCGGTCATCCTCCGCTGTTGGAAGCCACTCAGCTGCAAAGATGGAGGCCATGCCAGCCTTTGGAGGTTGCTGGATCCATGTCTCCTGCCTCCCAGCTGCGTTGGTCAAAAGCTGCTGGCTGCACCGTCCTGCCTGCGTTCGGCTTCTCAGTCAAACGGAGGCATTCTCTTCCCCGAGTGGGGTTGGAGCCATTTCTGCTGCCAACCTCCCAGCGGACAGTGGATAAATGCCCTGGGGGATCCTCCTATGGAAGGGCCCTTCTGCCCGCAGCGGGCTGCAGAGCACAGCGTGGGGCTTGGGTTTGGCCTTGGTCAGAATTGCATGTTCAAGGGGCCAACGGGCTGCCGGCAGCCCCGAAAGCTGGTGCAGGTCAGGAGTCATCGCACCTGGTGACTGGGTTGGTGGAGACTCGTGCTTCCTGCCCTGTGGAGGCTGCCTCCTCTGAGAGAAACTGAGTCACCAGAGCCCTCGTGAAGCCCGGCTCTGTCCGTGCATCTCCAGGAGGGCCGTCTCTGATGCCAGGCTCATGTCCTTGCCCTGGGAGCCGGTCAGGAGCACGTGCTGCCAGACAGCGTGGGAGGCAGGTGTCTGGCTGCTGTGGGCTGTGGCAGGGAGGCAGGGGCTGTTTCTTCCTGCCTGCCGTGGGTTCAAATCCAGTCACCCAAGCCCGGGCTGCTTGGTGTCCGTGACATCAGTGTGGGCAGGGCAGGCGGGTTTCCCTCCGGTTCCTCTGACTCACGTAGCCACGTCCCATTGGCAGCAAGCGGTTGGGATGCAGCAGCCTCCCACGGAGGGCCCGGGTGTCGTGGGAGGGAGGGCTACAGGGCTCCCAGCTGTGCTTGCTCCGAGCCCTGTCTGTGCCGAATTTAACAGGTCCAATTCCCTCTCCTGCCTGCCTGGGAGGCCGACTCGATGGGTCGCCTCCTTCTTCCGATAGCACTGTGGCTGCCTCCTGGCCTCCTCCATCCACCCACCTCTGCCTTTCTCTTTCAGGTGGGAACAGCGAGAGCTGCCTAATGGCCGGGTCTATTACGTGGACCATAACACCAAGACGACCACCTGGGAGAGACCTCTTCCCCCAGGGTAAGGCGCTGGGCCTCCTGGGCCCCCAGGCTAGAGCTGCCAGCGGGAGGAGAGGGTGGAGGCATGTCTCCCTGCCTAGACAGGGTGCGGGACCCACCTGCATCCCTGTCCAGGCTTGGCTGTCCTGGCCCATTCCTGCCTGGTGGACATTGGCTTCTCCTGCTTTGCTTTCCCCTGGGAGGAGAGCCCTTCCCATCTCCACAGCCATGGAGAGCAAAGGCAGCTTAGCCAGAGCACAGTCGCTTCTGGGCAGAACAAAGAGGCCTTCAAGGAATGAGAGGTGAAAATCGTGCACGGCATCCCCCATCCTGCTGTTGCAGCTGACAGGGCTGCGAGCTGGCCTGGTGTCACCTGTGGCCTGGGCTTTGTGAGTGGTATGGAGATTGCGAGCTCCCGCGGGTCAGGAGCAGGCCCTGCTCGTCGGTGCCTGTATGGTCCCTGCAGCCTCGCGGGGATGCGAGGGGAACTGTGCCTGACTGCGACTGGGGCTGCTGGCTCTGCAGTGACCAGTGCCCTGCTCCGTGCCGCAGGCTCGGCTGCAGAAGAGCAGGCCTGCCAATAAGGGGTCACGTTTTTGGCTGAAGAAGGAAGTTCCCTTAGGCCGTACCTGAACCCCTCCAAGCCCTCTTGCTCCTTCCTTGATCACGGGAACGGGGCTCTGGGCCGGCTCTCCTGCCCCCTGCTCTGTCTCTGACCTCTGTCCTTTGCACCTTGGCCCGACAGCTGGGGGAACCTGCCACTTTCACCCTCGGCACCATCCAAGATGCTGCAGGGACCCCTCGCTGAGCACCTGGATGTGCTCTGTCCTTCCCTGCCCGGGCTCTGCTGCCAGCTCGGGAGCAGACCAGCCCCGAGGTGATTCCCTGGCAAGTCATCGTGCTCTGCTTCTCAGCCTCCTCGCTGCTGCGCAGGCCCAGCCTGGCTCCAGCCTCTTGCCACGCAGGGGTAGAGCTGATCCAGATGGACATTCTGGGCACGTGGTGCATGCCAGGCTCCTCCAGTGGCCTTGGGAAGGCTGTGCCCCAGCCCTGATGCCTTGGGCCAGCCACAGCAGATGACTCCAGGGCCTCTGCCGGGAGGGGTCTCAAGCCCTGTCCTCGCTGGGCGGTGGCCCATCCAGCCAGTGACAGGGCGACCAGCAGAGCCGAAAAACCTCCTTGGGGCCAGAACACCCAAGGCCCCGTCGGTGCCCTCTGCCTTGTCCTGGTGCCTCAGGCCGAGACCCCTCCTGTCCTACAGGTGACAGAAGCTTCAGAGGAAGCCGGTGCGGCCGTGACCCATCAGGGCCTTTTTCTAGCCCCTCAACTGTCCCAAAGCAGGGAGACCCCCGGTGTAAGGCTCACACCTACCCACTCAGCACAGAGGTGCTGCTGCGGCCCCCCCAAGCTGGCTGCAGTGCCTCTTGGATTCATCCTGCCCCTCTGCCCGGTGCTGTGAACTCGCAGAAGGGCCTGGGTGGGTGGGGGGCACGCTCCTGAGCTCCCTGGGCAACAGGGGTTGGTCCAGGCCGAGTCCTGGTGTCTGGAGCATGCAGGCCAGCCTGCGCACGTGTGTGGCTGGAGCCATCACCCAAGGCACCGGAGGTGGTGCAGACGGGCTGGCGGGGGCGCTGGGGAGGGGGCCCGTCTACCTGTATGGGCGCAGCTGCTGACACGGGCCCCTCTGCGGTGTTGCAGGTGGGAGAAGCGGGTGGACCCCCGCGGCAGGTCCTACTACGTGGACCACAACACCCGCACCACCACCTGGCAGCGCCCCACGGCCGAGTACGTGCGCAACTACGAGCAGTGGCAGTCGCAGCGGAGCCAGCTCCAGGGCGCCATGCAGCAGTTCAGCCAGCGGTTCCTCTACCAGGTGAGAGCGACCGACTTCTGCCCCGACCCAGGGAATCGGGCTCCCACCCCGCCACCAGGCGAGTCTGGCATAGCACCGTGCCTGCTCCGTTGGCTGTAACGAGCCGGGCTTCCCATTCCTCCTGTACCTGGCCTGCTGCGTGTTTGAGGGGGTGGGGGGCAGATCCCTGCCATGTGCCCCACAGAGCCCATGTGCCCAGCCTGCCTGGGCTTTGTGATGAGCCCGTGGGCTTGTGGCTGGGCTCAGGGCACTGCCCAGTGTAGCTTGGCCCCCAGCGACAACCCAAGGGGCTGTGTAGCAGAGGGCACCCCCACCCCGAGGCCTGGGCCAGGGGCTGATGCCTCCAGGGCCAAAGAGCACTGGCAAGTTCAGGGGTAGCGGAGCACGACTCAGCTCTGCAGGCTCCCCCTGCTCCCTCCTTTTCCCGTGCCCTCGCTGCACTGCTCGGTGGGGTCGCTGAGCGCTCACCGTCCGGGGCGGTGGCGTCTCTGGTCAGGGCCCTGCAGAGAGGGTGACCGAGGAAGGGTGCGGGCCTTCTCCCATTCCTGGTCCCGAGCCCCGAGACATGGAGGTGCCTGCCCACGGCTGGCACCAGCTCCTCTGCCGCTCCTGCTTGGCACTCGAGTGAGGAGGAGGGGTGGCCCCTGGACCCAGAGGTTCTGGGATGCCCGTGGGAGAAGGGGAGCCTGGAGCCAAGCCCTCCTGCCCCAGGGGATCCCTTGCTAGGGCAGAGCAGGAGCTGTCAGAGCTGCAGGAACAAGCACCGTCTGTCCCCGCCTGCGCACAGCATCTCTGCTGCAGCATGTGCCCGGCGCGCCTCCAGCCCCTTGGCCCCTCTTGCGCTCTCCCTCCCCTGCTCAGTCCGGTCCGTGGGGGTTCATGGGCTCTGCCACTCTTGAGCTGGGCTGCCGCAGGCTTTGCTTCCTCCCACGTGCCTGCCCCCTCCCGCCCAGCCGGGAACAGGATCTGGGAGGGAAGCGCCGGCCCCAAGTGATTTATAGGCAGGGGAATCCTCCAGCGCTGAGCTGGGTTATGAGCTTGTCACTCCCTGCGATGGCTCCTGAAGTGCTCGCCCGGCCGCTCCCGTGGCTCCTAGTGGCGCTCCCGGCGGACGCTGCACAGCATGGAGCAGGGGACTCTCGTTCCAAGCTGAGCCCAGTGAAACCCCGCGCTACCTGCCGTCCCGCAGAGGTCTTGGCCCTCTGCTCCCAGCCCCAGGCTCTGGGTCACAGGGGCGGAGGGGGCAGGAGAGGCAGCCCATCCGTGCTGGCTTCCACAACATGGGGTTTCTCCAGCTGCCGTTCTGGGGTCTGGGGGGCAGGGCCCTACCCCAGAGGCAGTCCCTTTGTGTCTGCCCCCCAGCCCCGACCAGGGGATTTCTCCGAGTCTCCTGCCCTTTGGCCGCTCTGAGTGTGGGCCGTGCACTGTTTTCCCACGGGAGCGGGGGGGACTAGGCAAGTTCCCCGGGGCTGAAGGGGGTGGGATACCTGGGATTGGGAGCCCAAAGCTTAGTCACTCCTGCACCCAGGGGACCTGCTGCGGGGAGTTGGGTCCTGCCACTGTCAGCAGCATCACGGCTGGCTGGTCTCGCCATCGCTCTGCCCGCTACGGCCAGCCTGGGCCCCTTCCATCCTGCCATGCCCGCTCCCCTATCCTGCCAGGGCGCTGGCCGGCCTGTCTGGCACCCCAGCTCCCGTGGTCATGCATGAGGAAGTGCCACCCATGGCGCACCTGGCAGCTCTAGAGCCTGCTTCCCGGTCCCCGTGCAGCACCGCTGCCACTTCGCCACCCCGCAGAGGTCGGGACCGGGCTCCCGCTCGCGAGGCAGGATGGTGCCTTCCCTGGCTCAGGTGGGCCGGGGCCGGCTGCGGACCACGGCCCCCAGCTCCAGCCGCGCGGCTCTCGGAGGCGCAATGAAAAGGCCTTTCTCGGTAACAATGCATTTCTTATGCGGCTGTGGAAACGTCCGCGGGCCCCCCGCTCCCTGAATCCCCGACTGTTCCGTCTGGCCGCCCATCCCCAGGAGACCTCCCAGCAGTGCCGGGAGGGGGGCTAATCTAAACAGGCCCCCCGCCCGGGAGCCGCTCTCCCTCCCCCGGCCCGGGCCGGGCCGGGCCGGGCGCAGGCCGCCGTGCCGCTCTCCCCGAGTGAGAATAAAGGTGCTTTGTGCAGCGCGGTCCAACCTGGCGGGGCGGGGGAGGCCCGGGGGGCCGGGGGAGACGCCTGTCTGCGCAGGCATGAATGTTCCCTCAGTCCCCGCACCTCGCACACTGCCGCTCGCTTTCACGGCCGGCCGAGGAAGGGGGAGGGGGCCGCCGGGCCAGCCAGGAAGCGCTGGGCGTGGACAGGGCTTGTGGGAATGATTTCATTGGAAAGGCCTGCGATATTTTTTCCCCTCTTGTGTGTGGTTCTTGGAGAAAGTTGGAGGTGTAACCGTGGTGGCAATCTCAGTCGCGCCGGCCGGCGGGAGCTGAGCAGCCGCACACGCCCAGACCTCTCCTGCCGGCCCCTGCCTACCGCTGCCGCGGCGTAGCCTGTGCGTGGGGCTTGGGTTGGCCTTCCTCCCCGCCCTGCGCGTGCAGGGGTTTTGGTTGGTTTTATTTTTAGTGCCTCGGGAGCAGGGTCCCGGTCCCTGCCCTGGCAGCAGGGCTGGGGGCGGCGAGTGGAGAGCGGGGGGCAGGGAGCCCCCCCGTGTGCCCCTGCTCTCCGTAACCGCCTGCACCTTGTTTTTCACTCTGTGCTTCTGCCCTCTCTGTTGTCTCTAGTCGTCCAGCGCCGCATCCGACAATGACCCTCTCGGCTCCCTTCCTCCCGGCTGGGGTAAGTACGAGGCCACCTGGCCTGCGCTCGCACCTTGCTGCTCCCCTGGCAGCCCCCGCCCCCCCCCCATCTCTGGGACTGGGGCACTACTGCCTCCAGCTGCTGTCCATGGGGAAGGGGCTGCACGGTACACCGCTGCGCATGCTGGGAAGGGGATGCCCCCCACATCCACGCTGCCCGGGGCACTGGCTCGGCTAAGCCCAGCACACGCTCTGACCTCCCACCCTGCCCGTGTGCCCAGAGGCTCCCAGTGCCATGCAGTCGCTCCCAGGGCTGCAGGAAGGGGCAGAGGACCCAGCTTCTCCCGCCCCTGCCTGGGGCCGGGGCTGGGGTGGCATGGGGAGGGGCAGGAGTGCTCACGAGGGGGCCCAGTGGGATCGGGGTGCCCTGGGCCCCACCATGCATCCTGCTTCCCATGTCGTGTCTCAGACGAGTGGTGCTGGACCAGAGCGGGTGGCGGGCTGTGGCGGGGATGGGGGGCAGGGAACAGCTATGTATGAACAGGCAGGTCTGGAGAGCCTTGCGGGGGCTGTGGGAGCAACGGGTGCCGGGACATGCCCCAAGGGCCATTGCACTGGGCTGTGGGGCCGGGAGCATCCCACGCGTGCTGGGGAGCATCCTGTCAGCGCTGCGGGAGGAGCTGCCTGGTATCGGTGCAGCCCTCAGCCTCGCTTTCCCTGCGGAAAGGGCTCTCCAGCCCTGAGCGGGGCGGGGGGCAGAGAGCCAGGGGCTGCGGGCTTGCTGGTAGCTGCAAGCCCAGGGTAATGGCGTGCGGCTATAGCTGCGGGAGCTGCTCCCCCAGCGAGGAGAGAGGATTTGGGGGTGCAGGGATGCAGGCCAAGCTGAGGGGCTGGCGGGGTCGAGGTCAGCGGTTGCTGTGAGCGCCTGGCCAGGGGTGAGCTTGGAGCGCGCGAGTCCCACGTTGACCCCAGGGAGAGCAAGACGGGCTCGGCATGGCGCCCCCCCCCCCCATGTCCAGGATTCCTCTCGGCCAGCTCACGTCGCTGCTGAGATGGGGCGTCCTGCGGGCCGTGTCCGTCGTGCAGGCAGGCAGGGCAGGGCGCTGGCTCCGGGGCCGTGTGCCAAGCAACACAGGGCCTGGGCGCTGGCTCCAGAGTGCCCGCCAGCGCAGGCAGCACGTCACAGATGCAGGGGGAGAGCTGCCCGAGCAGCCATCCGCTGCCGTTCGATGGGCCCACGTGGCCAGCCGTGCATGCCGGGCTCCAGGTACGCACGGGCTTCGTGTGGGCAAGGCCGCAGGCTGGGTCCCAAGGAGCGGGCACTAGCTGGCATCCCTCAAGGGGCTTCAGTGACTTGCAGCTTCCCACTTTCCTCCTCGGAGCAGCTGCAGACGCCGGGGCAGGGCAGGGCAAGGGGTGGGTGCCGGCGCCAGGTGCTCCAAGCCCCCACGCAGCCAGCCGTCCGGCCCCGGCTCATTTCTAGTGACCTCGGGGTCTCAGCACAGAGAGCCTGGCATGTCCTGCGACGGAGCACGGCCCGGCCAGCACCGTGGCGGGGCATGGCAGAGGTGCTGTCGGGAGCTGCCTTCGCTTGCCCGCCAGAGGGGGAAGGGAGGGGTGCTTCCAATTAGCGCAGCAGGCTGCGCGGCCCTCCCCGCGGGCGCGCCCCCCCGGAGCGGGGCCGGCCGCCCCTGAGCTTCCACCCTGCGGCTTCTGCCGCAGCAGAGCAGCACCAGGGAGGGCGGGAGCTTTGCAGGCTGAGAAGGAGGGAGAAGGGGGGCAGGGGCCATAACCCTGCCGGCCATGCTGGAGTGCCGGGAGCTGGGCCTCTCCAGGAGGCAGGAGGGCAGCCGCTGCCTTGCTGGGCTCTTTCCTCAGGGCTGAGGAAACCCGGCTCCTTTCTGCAGCGTGGGCCCGCGCAGGGCCTCCAGGGCAAGGATGCACAAACGATGGGTACAGTCAGGGTGCATGGGGGTGTGCCTGGGGCCCGGTGTGCGAGCAGGGGTGGAGGATGCATTGCACAGGGAGGGCCAGGCATGCCCGCAGGGAGCTGGCAAGTATGGGTGCGTGTGCCACAGGGGCTTGGTCTGAACCTCCGAGCGTACTGGGCGTGAGGAGCAGTGGTGCATTGGGAGGGCAGAGGGGTCGCGAGAGGAGGGGTCGTGTGTATCTGAGGAGAGGCGGCTGCCTAGGGTAGGCGAGTGTGTGTACTGGGTGGTTTGCGTACAGGCGTAGGTGGGCAGTGCGGGCACAGAGGTCTGCACTGGTTGTGCACACGTAGCTCTTCACTGGGAACGTGGGGTTTGCAAATGGCAGTGGAATGCACGTGGTAGGTGGTGCGTGTACCATGTGTCTAGCTGCACAGTGGGCGTGTCAGGGAAGCGTGTGCATAGAGCAGGCGTCTGTGCATGGTGCACTCACTGGGCATTCGTGGGTGTGAGATGTGTACGGGTATGTGTACAGATAATGGGCATAGGAGGGGCACAAGTGTCTGTGTGTCTAATGTACCTGGTGCTCCTTGGAAAGAGATGCATCTGCCTGGGTGGTACACTGAGTGTACAAGGGATGTCTGTTGTGTGCAGGAGAAGCTTGGGAAAGATTCATGTGGTTGTATATGGGCACGTTGTGTGTTGTGCGTTCAGCAGGAGTGCCTGGGAGAGGTATGGGCACACGCGCTGCATGTTTACAGGGGTGTTTGGCAGAGCTGTGTGTGTGCTGGACATACAGCTCGTGTGTACAGGAGAGCTGTGCGGGTGCGTGCACACAGTGGATGTGTATAGGAGAGGTGTGTGCACTGTACAGACACTGGGTGTGTACAGGCGGCTCTGTGTGCCACAGACAGTGTACGTGTAGGGGGTGGCTGCATGTGTGCTGTACAGACAGTGGGTGTGTATGGGAAAGGTGTGTGTGTGCTGCACATACAGTTTGTTGTATGCAGGTGAGCTGCGCGCATGCTGCACAGACGGGGGTGTGCAGGGGAGCTGTGCGTGTGTTGTGCAGGCAAGGACGCGCTGTGTGTGCAGTGAGCCTGTCCGGGATGTCACGCCTCTGGGCAGCAGTGCGGGGGGGCTGCGCTGCCGTGCGTGGCAGCAGGGCCCGTCCCAGACGCTGCCCGTCCAGCTCCCTGTGCCGTCGCGTGCCCGGAGCCAGGGCTGCATGTGGAGCGCAGTGGGGGATGGCCACACTTCCGTCCTAGGCTTGAGCCACTGGGGCTGGGGGCAAGGGGATTGCAAAGAGCCCGAGTCCCTGGATCTGCTCCATGGGAGCTGGGATGGAGGGGGCCTCCTGTGGAAGTGTCTGGGGCAGGCTAACGTGGTGTCCTCTTCTTCCTCCTCCAGAAAAGAGACAGGACAATGGGCGAATGTATTACGTGAACCACAACACGCGGACCACGCAGTGGGAAGACCCTCGCACACAGGGGTAGGGCTCTAGGGCGCTGCCGTCTGCCCCATGTGGCTGCTTCTGTGTCGTTGGCTCCAAATGTGACAGCAGCTTTGGGCTTGTAGCTCCCAGCCCAACCATAAATCAAGCTACCCCAGGCCTGGCACGTCATGCTCCCAGCGTACATGCACCTCAGGACAGGGGATGCAGGAAGGAAGGAGCCCGCAAAGGTCCAGATGCAGTAGCCTTCCCCCTTGGGACACACAGCTGTCTTGTCTGAGACCTGGGGGTGGAGTACTGTTGTGCAGGCCGTGGTGCTAGGGTCAGCCGTCACACGTGTCCCCATGCGTGGGCCCCAGGGCGAGGCACAGCCATCGCACATCTCCCTGTGCATAGGCCTCGGGCTCAGGACAGCTATCACACATGTCCCCATGCACAGGCTCCAGTGCTAGGGACAGCCGTCACCCATGTCCACAGATCCTGGAGCTAGGGACAGCCATCACGTGTCCGCATGTGAGGGGTGGTTGCTGCGTAGCCCTGCGTGTGCTGGGGCGACTCTGTGCCAGTGCAGGACTCAGAAAGGGGCGCTCCTCTGGTCCCACTTGAGTGGGGATCCCACCTCACCCCCATGCAGCCCTGTGGAGCTCAGGACTGGGGAGCTCCCTGCCAGTGCAGCGCCACGCCATGGGCCACGCAGAGCTCTTGTCCCAGGGCTCAGCCAGGTGTCCTGGCGTCTTGGCTTCCTGTGAGCCAGTCCAGAGCTACAGGGCAAGGAAATACCTGCGCGTTAAGAAGGCAGCAGGAACAGCGAGGGGCCGGGGGCTTTGGACAGGCCTGGGCCCCAGCCCCAGCTGAGCGGGTGGGAGAGCCGACCACGCAGGCGAGACGGGTCCCTCTCCCTGGGCACGGCCCGCGCGCACTAACCTCTCCCCGGTGCGGGCAGGATGATGATGCAGGAGCTGGCCCTGCCCCTGGGCTGGGAGATGAAGTACACCAGCGAAGGCGTGCGCTACTTTGTGGATCACAACACCCGCACCACCACGTTCAAGGACCCGCGCCCCGGGTTCGAGTCTGGGTGAGTTCCTCCCTCCTGGCTGGGGCGCCGGGTCTCCCCCCCACCCCCAGCCCTGGCTGGCAGGCAGTCCGGGCCCGGGCAGGGCTGGGAGCAAGGCCACGGGTGGGCTGGGGCGTGTGCTGGTGGGGCGGCACCTGAGTGAAGGCCCCTGCGCTTGCCATTGCAGGAGCAAGCAGGGGGGCTCGCCGGGGGCTTACGACCGCAGCTTTCGCTGGAAGTACCACCAGTTCCGCTTCCTGTGTCACGTGAGTGTGGGCTACGGGGTGGGTCTGCGGTGGCCGTGCACAGCGCTGGGCCGGGGGCCAGGATGTCCCCAGGGTGGGAATTGGCATGGCCACTCGCCAGCGTGGGCCAGCACTGCCGGTGACCCGGGGGAGCAGCCCTGCTGGCCCTGGCTGAGCTCGGTGCCGTGTTTTCCTCCAGTCGAACGCGCTGCCCAGCCACGTGAAGATCAGCGTTTCCCGGCAGACGCTCTTTGAGGACTCCTTCCAGCAGGTGGGAACCTCCGTGCCCTCCCCCCCGCGCCCTCGTCCGGGGAGACCTGCGGGAGCGGCCCCCGCGCGGGCACTCCTGTGGGTGACGACTTGCTTCCCTCGTGCCCCAGATCATGAACATGAAGGCCTACGACCTGCGGCGCCGGCTGTACATCATCATGCGCGGTGAGGAGGGGCTGGACTACGGCGGCATCGCCCGGTGAGTCCAGGCTTGGACCCCTGTTCCTGCCCTCTGGGATAGAGGAGGCTTAAGACGTGCCCTGCCACGGCAGAGCGGCAGCTGGCCTGAATCCTGGGTGCGCCCCAGCAACTGAGTCAATCTGGAGGCCCCAGGCCGGGCTCTGCCTCCTCCTGGGAGCCCCTGCTGTCTCAGGGAGCCCAGCTGTGGCTGCCACCCACCACCCAGAAACTGGGGAGACCTGTGTGGAGGTTCCCAGTGGCCCGGGGTCCTTGGAAAGGCTCTGGGGCCCAGACTGGCTGCGACCGAGGGAAGGACCAGGCCGGTGGAGGGGCTGTGCCGTCGCTGAGGAAAGGCTTGCTGAAGCAGCACTGGGGGCTGGGTCTCTGCTGGGCAGGGGAGGGTCCCTGGTCCCCGACAGCTGCAGCTTGGCCATGCCTGGGTGTTCAGCTTGGTGCTGGGTAACTCTTCTTCCTGCCTCCCCCCTCCCGCGCCTGCCATGCCCTGGACCGCTCCTCCGTGGTGACCCTGCTCCCAGCCCCTGGTGCGTGGGCTTCTGCTCTCTCTCTGTGTCCTGCCAGTGGTTTTACCCTATGGTAGGTTACGTCATGCTGTTCTACCACAGGGTAGAACCACGGACGGGATACCGGGGCGCGCGCTGCGTCGGAGGACTCCTCGTCTCCCCGAGCCGCCAGGGAGGAGCCACGCCAGGACCGGGCGCCTCTCCCGGGCTGGGAAGGGGCAGCGTTCCCTGCAGAGGGGGAGGGGGCTGCATGCAAAGAGGCTCATGGAGCACGTGTGCGGGGGTAGGGGACAGCGAGGTGCCTGTCAGGAAGGGCGCGTGTGCTTGGGCCAGCTGCAGAGGTCTCTGAGCAAGTGCGAGGGCACGTAGGTGCCCAGCAGGGGTGCACTTGCCCACGTCCTGGCAGGGGTGCGTGTGCAAGTGAACACGGGCATTTCTGGGGTCCCTGGCGCTCCCCAGGTCAGGCCCTGCTCTCTCGCTGGCCTCTAGGAGCCCAGTGGGCAGAAGGGGCGTGGGGCAGGCTCTGCCTGGCGCCGGGTGGGCAGCTGGCCTGCAGTCCCTTCACCGTTCCCCGTCCTCCTGTCTCCCCCAGGGAGTGGTTCTTCCTCCTGTCCCACGAGGTGCTCAACCCCATGTACTGCCTCTTCGAGTACGCTGGGAAGAACAACTACTGCCTGCAGATCAACCCTGCCTCCTCCATCAACCCCGACCACCTCACCTACTTCCGCTTCATCGGCCGCTTCATCGCCATGGTAGGAGCGCAGGCCCAGCCTGGCTCGCCTGTGGATGGGGCAGCAGTGCAGGGACGGCCCCGGGCAGCTGGCACCTGCCTTGTGTGCAGGGGGAAGACGGTGGAAGGGCCCTGGAGGAGCCTGGGTATCCGGCCAGCATCCAGGACACGGGGCTGTGGGCTGGGGAGCAGGGTCTTTGCCTCCATGAGTTGTGCTCAGGGACTGAGGTGGGATGGACTCCCTGCTCCTGCCAGGGCCAGGCCTCCTCGGTTGTCCTGGAGGAGGCAGAGGGGGAGTGGGAGCCCTGGGTCTGCACCGTTGGGCTAGACGCTCAACCTGGGCCACGGCCGTATCCCACCACGGCAGCATCCTCCCACATCCTCCGCCTCGGGGACCGCTCCTCAGGGCCTGCTGCAGCTGTCGGGCCTCGCGTGGCCGGGTCTGCGGGCAGGGAGCGGGCTGTATGTCTGGAGGGGCAGGGAGGGGGTTTCTGCAGGGCCAGAGGTGCGTGGGGGCGGTGTTTGGGGCGGGGGCCCATTTCCAGGCCTGGCTCCCTGGCTGCTGCCTCATTGTCCTGTGTGACAGGCAGCTCCGGGAGCTATTTTTAGCCAGCCCGTGTGGCTGTTTCCAGCTGCCCACACCTTGGTCATCCCTGCTGCCCGGCTCTGCTGCTCGCGGAGCACCCCAGGGCCCCGGGGGCCCAGCCAGGAGTCCCCGTGCATGGGAGCGGGCTGCTCCCAGGGCTCCGGACCCTGCCCCTTGGTGCCAAGTGCAGGAGGCTGCAGCGCTGTCCTGGCCTGCCCAGGCTGCCCGAGCAACGCAGGAGCCCAATAAAACCCCAGACTGTTACTCACTGCTTGGCCGTTCCAGACAAGCGTCTGCATTATTCTTGGCTGCCTCTGCCTCGGGGCTCCTGGAAGCCAGGGACTCAGGGAAGCCGCAGCACAGCTCTGTTTAAACAAGTGCTGTTAATAGAGCTGCAAGGGGGCAGACGGCGCCGCACAATCTGGGGCAGGGAGGGGAGCGGGGTGCCCGTGCACCCAGCTCTGGAGGCAGGAGCCCCTGTTTCCCCGGGAGAGGTGCTGGCCTCGGTGTCCGGGCCTGGGCCGCGGTGCCAGGAGGGCGCCAGGCCTTCCTTCTGCGCGCACAGTCTTACCTAGCCAAGGAGGAATTCAGCCCAGGCCTGTGGAACCACCTCCTGCCAGCTGCGTTCCTTGGCACCTCCTTGCTCACGGCTGTTCCCAGGGTTTTCAGGACGCAGCCCCCAGCTCCCGGTCCCATGGGCATGACCCCCGCATGCTCTCCCCCACAGGCCCTGTACCATGGGAAGTTCATCGACACCGGCTTCACGCTGCCTTTCTACAAGCGCATGCTGAACAAGCGGCCCACGCTGAAGGACCTGGAGTCCATCGACCCCGAGTTCTACAACTCCATCGTCTGGATCAAGTCAGTGCCCGAGCGCAGCTCGCACCCCACCTCATTCCTGGGCCTGGCTTCTCCTTGGGGTAGGGGGGATGAGGCGCCCACAGTGAATGGGCTCCGGCTCAGCCTGACACACCAGGCAGCTCTCAGGCCCTTGGCGCTGACAGCTCCAGGCAGCTGCTGCAGAAACGGGCTGCAGCTTCAGAGAAACCTTCCCTACCGAGGCAATCAGATTGGCCGTAGGATGCCCCTGCCAGCTGTCACCGAGACCCCAGGGTGCCACCAGTGGGGCCCTAGCCCCCAATACTCCCTCCCCATTCCCTTCGCACCAAGGCCTGGTCCCCAGGAGGGATAATGCTCCCCGTGTCTCTGCCCACAGGGAGAACAGCCTGGAGGAGTGCGGCCTGGAGCTCTACTTCATCCAGGACATGGAGATCCTGGGCAAGGTGACGACCCACGAGCTGAAGGAGGGCGGCGAGAGCATCCGGGTGACAGAGGAGAACAAGGAAGAGTACATCATGTGAGTGCCGGCCCTGGGCTGGCTGCAGCACTGCGTGGGGCACGGCCGCTGGCAGCAGGGGACAGCCGGGACGTGGCCCTGGGAGCTGGTGCCAGCACCTGCAGGAGGCAGAATCGCAGCCGGGGAGGGATGTGGCAGCAGGACCCAGCTTGCCTTTCAGCCGCCCATCCTGCCTGCCCAGCACTGCCGGTTCAGTGCAGAGCTGGTTGGGATCCCACGGGAGCTGGTGGGTTCGAGTCAGTGCTTCCCTGCTGCTCCTTGGGGACTGGCTGCCTGCACCTCGCCGGTCCCCACATGCCTCTGCAGGCTGACCTGTCAAGGGGCACTGCTCTTGGCATCGGGAGGCAAGGTTGCTGCCCAGAAGAGCCAGGCCGGGATCTGCCAGGCTCTCCTGCATGCCCAGCTGCTTCTGCTCCTCTCCACTTACCTGCTGCTCCCTGACTGCTCGTCCCTCCCTGCTGTGCAGGGGCAGCGGGCAGAGTCACCAGGGACCTGCCAGGCTCTGGGGATGGGGGCTGCTGCAGCCAGCGCTGCACCCTGCTGAGCGGTCGGTTTGTCCTCCCAGGCTGCTGACAGACTGGAGGTTCACGCGGGGCGTGGAGGAGCAGACCAAGGCCTTCCTGGATGGCTTCAACGAGGTGGTGCCACTGGAGTGGCTGCGGTACTTTGACGAGAAGGAGCTGGAGGTGAGTCGGGCATCGGGGCAATGCCTGGCAGTCCCGGCACCTGCTGGACGAGCCACCTCGGGGCCTACCGTTTGCCAGCAGAGCTGCTGGGTCTGAATCCTGCCTGGGGCACGAGGGCAGCAGCGACCCTCCCACAGCCTGGGAGGAATATTGCTAGCCCGTAATCCTGCCCCTGATTTGGCTCCACTGGGGGAAAAGGAAGGGAACGCATCAGCTGGACACAAGTGAGGGACCTCCCCCGGGGGGTCACTGCCAGGCTTGTAGAGGAGCTGACCTCCTGCTGGGCCCACGGCTGGGAGGTCCTGCTGCCCGTGCCCCATTGCACTGACCCTGGAGAAGCCAGCGTGTCTGCTGTGCCGGGCGCTGTCCCTTTCCAAAGCTGGGGGCTGAATGGAGCCTGCGGCTGCCCGCTGACCTGCCCTGTGGTTCCCCAGCTGATGCTGTGCGGCATGCAGGAGATCGACATGAACGACTGGCAGAAGAACACGATCTACCGGCACTACACCAAGAACAGCAAGCAGATCCAATGGTTCTGGCAGGTGAGCTGGGCACCGGCAGCAGCCTTGGAGCCCTCCAGGCTGCAGCAAGCACGTGTCCCGTGAAGAGGCCTTCGGCTGGAGCTGGCAGAGGCGCCGGGGCAGCGCTTGGTGGTCAGCCTGTTTCCAGCAGGAGCGGCTGCTCGGGGGGCAGGACAGGAGGTGACCGAATAAAGCAGCGCCCGCTCAGTGGCCAAGAGAGAAGGGGAGGGAAAAGCAGCCCTTGGCCCGGCAGCCAGCAGGGCAGAGCCCGTGTCACTGCATCACTGTGGGGGAAGCTGCTCCTTCCAGGGTTTCAGGCCAAGTCTGGATTCAGCTCTGCCCCAAGCCCGTGGACCAGAGCCCATCCGGCATGAAGGGCCGAGAGGCAGGTGGTGCATTAGGCCTGCTCTGTGCCCTGGGTTGTTGGTTAGCTCCTGCTGCCCCAGCGTCAGGGGGACGCTCCGCGTGGGGTTTAGTGGGTCTCTGAGGTTCCTGATGCACCTGGGCAGAGGAGGGTGTTGCCAAACCGAGCTGGGCTGGAGAGGCACGCTTTCCATTGCCCCTCCCCAAAGCGATGACTGGACCCCCACCTTGTAGGTCGTCAAGGAGATGGACAATGAGAAGAGGATCCGGCTGTTGCAGTTTGTGACGGGGACCTGCCGCCTGCCGGTCGGAGGATTCATGGAGCTCATCGGTATTTATGCCCCGGGTCTTTGGGAAGAGAGTGGGGGTAGAGGAGGAGAGTTGTGACAGTCTCCGAGCCCCGTGGTGCTGGAGAGGGACAGGTGGGGGCGGGGGCAGCTTTCCAGCTCTCGGGTCGGCCGTTCTGCTGCAGGTGGAGGCTCGGGCCGTCTCGGCGATGCTTACTAAACGTTGGCACCTTCACCTCTGTCCCGGCTTCTGGAGCTTTTCCACTGTTCCAAGACGGGTTAAATCTAAACATCAGAGCGTCCGAATCTGAGTCGGCCGGTTCCTTTAAAACTTTGATGGAAACGACCCGATCCTGAATGTTTTTTAAAACCGGTTTAGGGCTCGGAGTTCCTGTTTAAACATCCTGCTTAGCTGGACTAGAAGGTGTTTTGTTACCATGCAGACTTTGACTGGTGCCTTTCAGGGTTTACTGAACATTTCGGCTTCCTCTGAATCATCGTCGACAACTTTCTTCTCAGCACTGAATCATAGAGCGCGGGGGCTGAAGGGACCTCGGGAGGTCCCGTCTAGTCCAGCCCCTGCCCAAAGCAGGACCAGCCCCAGCCCCAGCCCCAGCTAGATCAGCATCTACTGCTAAGATTGCTTCTGCTCCTGATTTATTTCTGAGTTACTTCTTGTAATCCTTTTGCCTCCGGACCACAGACTTCTTCACTGATCACTTCAGCTCCCTTATCAGTAATTCTGATTGTGGTTGGCTTAATCCCTGGAGTTTGAGCAGTAGGATGCCTTACCAAGTACACGTTTGTTTTAATTCCTGTAGTTAGGGAGGATCTTATTATCCATATCGATCCCCAGTGAGCTTTTGGCTTCAATGAAGTCCTGCGGCAGTGAGTTCCAGGGGTTAGCAGCGTTGCCTGAAGGGCCCTTTCTTAGCCTCGGTGTGTCCTGTTTCGTGCTGGAATGAGACGTGTTCTGCTTGTGCCCAACAGGCAGCAACGGGCCGCAGAAGTTCTGCATCGATAAGGTTGGCAAGGAGCCGGGGCTGCCGCGGAGCCACACCTGGTAAGGCCTGTCCCCTGTGCGATGTGTGCGAGCACCGGGGCACAGACCCCTGGCTTGCCCGTGTTGTCTCGCACCACCCCACAGCGGGTGTGCGGGGACGCGGGCACCGCTCTGCTCAGCAGCATCCAGTTTGCGCAGCCGCGGAGGAGGTCCCTGCCGTGGGACCTGCGGGGCGGGGAGGACGGGGCGGGCGCTGCATTGACGGCCTGCGTTGTCTTGCCAGCTTTAACCGCCTGGACCTTCCCCCCTACAAGAGCTACGAACAGCTGAAGGAGAAGCTGCTTTATGCCATCGAGGAGACCGAGGGCTTTGGCCAGGAGTGAGGGAGCCGGCCTTTCCCTGCCCGACCAGGCTGCCTGAACGCCCAGCAGGCGCCAGGAACAGGCTGCGCGCTGTGAGCGCCTGCTTGGGGTGGAGGCGGGAGGAGCCCATGCCAGTTCCTCTCTCCGTCCTCCCCAGAGGCAGCTGCAGCCAGTGGCAGCCTCTTGTCACTCGTGCCAGCGCCGCCCGAGGGGGACAGGCCTGTGCTCCCTCCCAGAGCAGTGCGAGCTGCTCTGGGGGGCGGGGGCAGGGGCAGGGAGGGCACCAGCACCTTGCTGCGTGGGGCAGGGGCATCAGGCCCCCTGGGGAGGGGTCTCTGGCCACGTTCATGCTAAACTGTCCCTAGCCCAGTGCCTGAGCTGCTGATCCTGGGGTCTGAGGCCCAGGCACAGCAGGGACTCCTGCCCCCTCTCCCACAAACGCCTCCCTATCCCCACACGTGCCCGGGGCAGAGCCACCTCACACCAAAGACGCGGGCGCGATCGTTACCTCTCCCCAGCACGGGGTGTTGCAGGAGCCAGGCAGCGGATTCAGAGCACGCCCGCTTCCTCCTCCGTGCCGCGTGTTCGTGCTCCTCCCAGCCCGGAGCTGCTGGGCCACGTCCCCGCAGCCCTTTGGAGTGAGGCTTCTGCCTGGAGCCGCGGGCGGCCAGAGCCCAGAGCTGCCCGGACTGCTTTGCCGAGGGCGCTTGCTACGCTCCAGAGCCGGGACGGGGCTCTGTATAACGAGCTGCAGTTAAAGGGCGGGGGGCACTGGTTTTCACAGGGAGCTCTTCTCATGTGTTCCCTGCCTCTTGGGGCGTCCTGCTACACGGGGGCAAAATGGGAAGTCAGCTCTGGCTTTGGCAGCCACGGAGTCTTACACACGTGAGCCCTTGGCAGAGGCTCCTGTTGGCTTTCCTGGGAAGGGGTCAGGCCCCAGGCCGGGGAGCCACCCTCCCCGACTGCCCTTTTCCTCACGCCGCGGCTCAGGGGCTCGCCGGGGCCATGCACGGAGCGAGTGGGCTTGTGAATTTGGCCCCCAGAAGCTCGGGCTGGGGGCGGGGAGGACTCCGGGGCAGGCTGGCCTGGCCGGGGGCTGTGCTGCTTGCTGCATGTTTCGGTTTGCGAGTGCGTGTGGCCCGCGTGCTCTTTATTTAATGATACGAGCGGGAGGCAGCGCTTGGCCGTGGTGCTCCTCGGTCCGCGCCGCGCAGCTCCGTCCCGGTGCGGGCACGCAGCACCCCGTTCTCACTCCGGGCCTGCAGCCGGGGGCCGTGGAACGGGCACCCCCATCTCGAACCAGCCACGTTAACTTCTTGAAGCAACGACCTTTCCAGCCGCGCCCCGGGGCCGGCAGCTGAGCACCCTCGCGGGGCTTGGGCCTGGTCTCCGGGCTTAAGCGCAGACTCGGGGCCTGATGCTCCGGATTCACCGCCCCGGTGTGAGTCAGACGCCCAGAACTGAGGCAGAAGCAGGCCCTTCCTTCCCCGGCAGCTTCTGCCGGTCTGAGCCGCGGCCCCGGAGCCCTTCCTGGCAGGCTGGCGAGCAGCCGCGGCCTGGGGGTGTGCGTGTGAGCGTGCGTGTGTGTGAGCATCCGTGTACATATCTGTACAGAAACGAAGTCTATGGATACAAAAAAAAAAAAGGCAATAGCTTTTGATGGGTAACCTGGATAGTTTTGTACTGCACCATCCTGCCTCAGTGACGCCGATTTCTTGTGCAATAAACAATAAGCAGCTGCTTGTGCGGTTTGTGCGTGAGTCTGTGACGGTGCGGGGCTGGCGCCGGCCGGGGGAGAGGGCCCCGGGGAGGCAGCCTGGTCCCCGTCTCTGCCCCTCCGCAATGTCGCCGGTCCCTGCCCGGGCACCGGCTCCACGTGCGCTCCAGCCCTCCGTGCTCTTCGCGCTCGCCTGCGTGCTCCCTTGCGGCCTTGAGGCAGGCAGCGGCTCGGGGCGTTGCGCTGAATTTGGAGCTGGCTTTGCCCGTGGCTTTGCTGGCTGACCTGTCGTGGAGGCAGGGGAGGGCCGTGACTACGGTCTCAGCCCCGGCCCTCCAGGTCGAAGGGAACACCCCAGCACGGGTTAGTCCGGAGAGGGCCGGTGCTGGAGCCCTGCCTGGCAGCCGGGCTTGGAGCCGAGTCAGGGAGCTGGGTGCGGCGTCCCCTGCGCCAGGAAGCCCCTGGCCCCTTGCCCGGAGCCGTACACGAGGCTACGACTGCAGCAGCTTCTTCCCTGCGCGGCCAGGAGACAGCCAGGCCGGCCCAGGCCGCCGCAGCTAAAGGGAAGCAAGGCCTGGAAATGTGCTTGCTGCCCTTGCAGCCCGGGGACGGCAGTGGAGACCACACGGCTTCGCACCTGCCATCCAGGAGGTAGCGTGGATGGACCCGCACCGGGCGCAGCCGGGTACCGCAGCCTGGGCAACGGGAGGCACGGGCAGCTAAGGTAGGGCAGCCGCAAGGAGCCGAGTAAGGCAGTCCGGGCGCAGCGTGCGGGGCGGATGTAACGGGGCCAGCAGCTCTGACCGCAGTCGGGCTGGAGGACAGCAGAGCTCGGCCTGCTGGAGAGCACGCGGCCTCCTCCCCAGCCCCGTGAGCTTCCCTCCCGCTGCCCCAGACCGTGCCAAGAGGGCTGGCGCGTGGACACGCTCCACGTGCCCATGTTTGGTGCGCCAAGGGCCAGCGTGAGTCGCTCCTGCCGCCGGGGCTGGAGGCGAGGCCGACGCTGCCTGGAAGGGGCTCCCCCGCCACCGCCGCGTGTTCCAGGAAGACGAGCGGTTTTACTTGTGAATTCGCCTCCGGGGGCCGGCAGGGCCGCTGCGCTCGGAGCCCGGGCCTCCCACCGCTTTGCCAAGCAAGTTGAGGACACAGGAGGACGGCCTGGGCTTGCTGTGGGCCCCCAGGCTTGTCCTGCAGGGCTCGGCGCAGGCCGCGGGAGCCCCCATCTGCTCCAGAACGAGCTGCTAAAGTTGACCCCTGCTCGCAGGGTCCCGTGCAGGCACGCGGGAAGCCCTTGAAAGCCACAATTCCTCTACCGAGCCCACGCGGCGCAGAGGCAGTGGGAGCCTCTCGCCAGCGCACGGCACGGCCTGCGGCAGGCTCCGAAACCTCCACTTGCGTGCTGGGGGAAGGATGCTTGCGGGCAACCGCAACCCCGCTGCGCTCAGCGCCGCACCAGGGGCCCGGCAGGCAGGGTGGTGTAGCACCCAGGGGTGGGCCAGGGCATCGCGGGCAATGCAAGCCACGTGGCTCCCCGCCCCCGGGAAGCATTTGACAAACGAGGGGGAAGAGGCTGCTAGTTGCAAGCACAGGACAGAGCCGGCAGCTGCTGCTCTTGTGGGTTCAGGCGCTGGTCGGCGCAGGGGGAAGCGTTTAGGGGCAGTTTGGACGAGGCGAGGGTGGACACGTGCACGGGGCGTCTGACGCTGCCTCCCCAGCACAACGCGGGCTGTGGAGGAAGGGCCAGGAACAGGGGCCAAACACCAGGAGTTGCAAATCACTCAATCAGCAATGGTGCTCGAGCACCAGGACCCTTCATGGCCACCAGCTGTGGGTGCCGCCACACCCCGCCCTGCCCCAGCAGTGCTCCCGCAGCACGGCCACGCTTGTACGAGCTGCCTGCTGGGCACAGCCCTTGTATCCCGCTCCTGGCCCCAAGCGGCCTGGCAAGCCACACCTTTCTCCTGACCGGTGAGTGCCCGATGTTTTCTTTCTGTTCCCTACTACTGCTTGGCCTCCGTTAAGAGTAAGCTGTGTTTTGAGCATGGGAGTAGGAAGCCTGAGTGGTCAAACCGGAAGTCAGGCCAGGAGTTGCAAGGTTAGAGGCAGCTAGAGAAAGGCCAGAGGCCAGGAATACAGAGGCAAGACCTAAAGCACTTTGGCTCCCTTGGGCTGGGGGGGGAGCCCGGGGGCCGCCAGCCCTGACCTCGAGCAATGCTGAGGGGTGCGCGCAGCAGCAGAGAGCAGCACGCCCCGGGGCTAACGCAGCACTCGGCCTCATGAGATGTAGGCGGCGACGTCCCGAAGCAGGGGCTAGAGCAAGCTTCTTGTGCCGAGGCGGTCTCAATTCTCTGCCATTCGTGGCCGATGTTATGACTTGACCATTCACGTGAATGGGGCGCGAGCGGCCAGCCTGTTCAATGAGAGCATTCAAACCACCTTCCTGCTCCTTTCGGAGAAGGAGTAGAGTTTAAACCGAGGAGCAAATGCTCCTGCCCTACATCTGCCTCCCTTGACCCAACCTGTAACCAAGTGGCTTGTGGATGGGTCCAGAAGGCCGTGCCCGAGGCTGCCGAGCCGCTCTGGTTCTGCTCCGGCGGCACTCGGAGGGAAGACAACCTGGAGTCCGTGCGACTCCTCGTCACGGTCCCAGCACAAGGCGTGACGGTGCTTTCACACCGCCCGCTGCCGGTCCGAGGCTGGGCTGGCAGCTCGCCCCGCTGCGGAAAGCCTCTTCTGGATATGGTTAGCATTTGACTGTCCCCCGCCAAACCCGCGTGGAAGGCGTGGAGGCCGATCGCTAGCAGGCTTTCTCTGAGCTATTTCCTCTGTAATTACAGGGCCCAGAGTTGGGGGCTGAAGGTTTAGTCGCAGATGTCACTAAGCCGAAGTAAACAGCAGAGCTGGGCTCCTACGGCCTCAGGAGGCAGGCGGGCAGCAGTCATGCACCTTGGCCAAGTCGGCGCCACAGGTGCGGCGTTCCCGGCTCCCCCCAGCTCCAGCGAGACTTCTGCCTAGGGAGGTTCGTGCTACCCACTCACACCTCTCTGCTGCCCTGGGAGCACGTCGCAGGCAGGTGTGCACGGTTAGCCGGCCGTTACTAGAGCACCAGCACAAACACCGAGAGCAAAGGCTCCTTCCCGGGAGGCCTTTGGGAACAGGCTGGTTCGAACGCGAGCGCTGGGCGCCCCCTCCCGTGGCTCTTCTGGACTACAACATCCAGCCCGCACGGGACGGCTCTGCACAGCTGTAGGCCACTGCCCTGGTAGGAGGAAAAAGCCCTGAACGGCTGTGTGGTGGGGACAGCTCTTGGCTTGGTTTTAGTCTTTTAGTCTTTAAAAGGGAACCTTGCAGACCCATTAGAAGTCTGTGTCTGTCTCGTGCATTGCAGAAGCTCGGTACCTGCTGCGTTTGCTTCGGGGTGTCTCGGAGCGAGCCCAGCTCTGGTTCCTGTCCCGGCCGGGCTGTGTACACAGAGCAGCTCTCTGATCCCTGCACTTCAGCCGTCCCTCGAGGCTGAGGGAGTGCAATATCGTCCGTGGTATGCCGGGTCTCCAGAACAGGGGCATCAAACTCGTCTGGCTCCGGCTCCGGCTCCATGGGCCACGTGAGTGGTGCAGGGCCAGCTCCAGGGGTGAGATCAGGCCCACAGACCCCCCACCAACAAACCAGACCCAGCACACACTGTGGCCGATCCAGGACTGCTGCGCGTGGTGCCTGCCCCAAACCAACTGAAGCAGGTGCCGTGGGTGGCTCCCACCCCCACCCATGCTGTCCCGGGCCAGCCGGAGCGGGTGCAGGATTTGGCATGCTGGGGCCCCTGGACCGGCCCCATGCCAATGCTACGTGCAGCGTGGGTCCCGTGCCATGTCTGGCGCACACCCCACGTGGGTCAACCGGAGACTGTGTGCTGGATTTGGCCCGCAGGCTGGATCTTGAACTCCCCTGCTCCAGAGGATGCAGAGCTGTGGGGCCAGTGAATGTTTCTGGTGTTGGGTGGAAGGAGAGTTGTTTTTTGCAGTAGGGTGTGGCTTCCCTTAGTCCTTAAACGAGTGCTTCAGACCTCGGCTCTAGTGTGAGCTGCTTTCAATTCTAATGTAACAGCTGGCGAATGCCCCGGGGAGGGGGGCTTTGTTCTCATGTCTGCTGAGGCTGGCACGGGGCTCTGGCGCTGAGGGGGTTTTTGCGACTAGTTTGAAGCTGTTATAACCTGGCCTGCTACGGAAAACCCAGTGTCATCTCCAAGTCACTTTAGTGCCAAGATGGGGCAGCTGTCTTGCACAGAGATGGTTAGGCAGGGTGCTGGATACCAGTGGCATTTCTGTACCTTAGCCATGTGCTCTTTGCCCTACCATTAGCTGCGTCTGTGCTCTGCACACTGGTCACTGCTGTTGCTGGTCTTTTAAGGGATATTAAAAAAAAGAAAGACTGATGCCTGTGTTCTGAAAAGAGAGTGTATGAAAAATTATGAATCGTGGGGGGCTTTGCAAATAGCTTTAGGGGAAAGAATAGGGTATAACTTTGGTTGCCTGGAAGGCACTTCTTGCACCTAGGAGTAGGTGCTGTTGGGACTTTCTACAGGTTTGACACACACATTTTGAGATGGAGATGAGTCATCTCGCAGCACTTTTACCTTGGTGCTACTAGAATGATTTGAAAAGGAGCTAAAAAAGCAGCACTTGTCTGGTCAGGTCTGTGGCAGGGGTTCAAACCCAAACTGAGGCTACAGCTCAAAGATGCATGCAACTTCAGGTCACACTTCCAGCATTTCCACCGGATCAGTGCTTCCCATGCGACTCCCTCCATGTCTTGCTGAACCCCAGAGAAGCAGAGCTGCCTGCTGAGACTGCTACGAGTCATGATGTTCTCTGTACAGGTCATGAACACAGACTAATCCACAGCTCTCTGGGAACGGGCTGCAACGTCAGTCCCCAAGCCAGCTCCCTCCCTCCCGCACGCCTTGCATCGGGAGCATTACAACGTATAAATATATGACTTCTAAATGGAGATTCCTTTCAGTTGATGGTACAGCTCTGAACTTCTTGCTCCTCCTCAACAAAGGATTAGTAGGGGTGGGGAGACCCTTCAGAGAGGATACTGGTGGGGTTTGGAAAGGCTAGCACTCTGCAGATGTGCATTCACTTCCTGCTTTACCACAGGGCAAATGTCTAATGTCCAAATCCACAAAGGGGTTTAGGTTCCTGTTTAACCCTAGAGGCTCCTAAAGTCCTTCAGCATCTTGGTTGCCTACTACTAAATAGACACCGTCAGTCCTTCTGGCTCATGCATGAGAGGTCACCCAGACCTTCAAAACATATGCCTAGGCAGGAGTGGAGGCTGCCCAGACCTTCCACTGCCCCGTCAGCCCATGGAGACAGAATCGAGTCCAGATGCCCAGTGCCGCGATGGCTGTTCTGCCTGTCCCGTGGGCTCATGCATAGGCACGCATGCACATCCAGACACTGCTCGGCTGCAGCTCACACCTGCCTACAGCAGGATGCTCTCTCTAAATGTTCCCTTGTCTGTGTTGCTCGCAGTGTGATGCAGTAAACGTGGCCTGAGGAGTGCCTATTGAATTGGTCTTGCACAAATGAGTCCCGGGGACATGCTGGCTGGCTTGACATTCTCAGAAGCTGACATTCCTAAGGTGCCTAATTTTCCTCACTCGTTATGGTGAGATAATTGGTCAGCTGCCTTGGGACTGAGGTGCTGTGCTGCTTAGGGGAATCCTGACTGTTAAGTGTCTGTGCCTGTTCCAATCCTACCACGATCGTGGGATAACAGCGCTGTCTTGCTGGGCAGTGTCCTGGTGTGAAGGGCTGGGGAACTGAAGAAACACCTAAAGTAGACTTAATTGGACCTGGCTTAGATGGAACTTTCTTGCATTAAATAAAACCCGGCTAGTCCTCATTCATAACTGAACTGTGCCTGACAAATGCCACAGCTGCTCTGTGCTGCGCTCTGCTCCTCTTGAAGGTCAGCTATGTGGAGGTAGTCTCATTCCAGTGTAAATGTCATGAGAATTAATCAAAAACAGTATGCTTTATTTGCACACACTGCCTTAGTCCAGGCTAACTTTAAGCACAGGCTGGCCCTCAATCCTGTCCTTGCTTCACATTTTATTATGTTCCTCCCCAAAATGACCTGTAATTGAAGGGACCTCACTGCAGTACGCACAGCAAGTGAAATATGTAGCACTAGCTGGAAGCTATAACAATTACCAGCTCACGTACAGTCCATAAGAGAACTGCGAAGCTGCTTGACAGGCTGCCCAGAGAAACAATGGCTGAATTTACTATAACCATAAAAGAGAAACAATTGCTCGTCTAGCATCCCCTGCCATGCACCCTGTTTCAAGGGAGCCCACTTAGGTACTGCTTTATGTCAAAATTAGCCACACTCCAAGTTTTAACTGCATAACCGGAGACTTAACCTGCTTGTCTTTCAAGTAGCCTCCGTTCCCCCACTCACAGGAGTTCCTAAAAACATCCCCAGTGTGTCTGTGTCCTGCCGGGTGCTTGTCAAGGTGGAGTTATTGGTGCTGTGCACGCACTCAAACCCCTTGACTTAACTGAGGTGAGGCCCCAATGTACCAGGTACTGCACAAACAAGAGCTTAATTTCTTTCGTATTAGGCAGTCATTCAGCTCTGCCTGAGTTTTTCCACAGCCTCATCTCTTCTCCCCTTATTGGACATGCCAGAGACTAAGGCATTCATTCTTCATGGACATATCTGTATTCTCTGCTTCCGATCCTGTTAACACTTCTTCCATCTTGGAACTATGTTCTTCTCTCTGGGATTCCTCACACTCCAGCAAATTTGCCTTGAAATCACCTGCTACTTGCTTCCAGGATTAAAAATGACTAGAAGTCCAAGAGTTACAAACCAAACCATTTAATCATCTCTTTGAAAATAAACAATATAGAAGGCCCAACCTCAAGGTCTCCTGAGCAACAGATGGGGCAGGTAAATTCATCCTCTGCGCAGAGCCCTCGGAGCAGGATCAAGTGCCAGAAGAACGTTAAGATGGCAAGCAGTGGCAGCACAGGTGCAGGCGTCATGCATTCAGTTTAGCAGTTTTACAGACCATATAGTATAAACTTCAAATAACTTTTAGACCAAAGCCATGCGAAACGGAGACAGAAGAGCATCTTGGGATGCAGGCCTTTTCCATTGGTAAAGAATGGAAAAAGCGGCAGTTGGTGACCTCGCCTTTGCCTCCCCCCTCCTTCCCTCCAGTGCTAAGGACTGAACAGACAGGCCCTCCTAAGAGTAAGGCTGCCTGCTTCTTGCTGTAGCTGCCAGTCTGTGTAGAGCAAGTTCCCTCTCCCCACTCTATTCGGCTATATGCCTGTCGGATGCAGAAGCAAGGGAAGTGCACATGAGAGTGCCTCCCAGAACAGGCAAGAATAGAGAACTGCCCAGTCACTTCAACAGGTGAAAAGAACCCTCTAGCAGCACAGTGATTTTAGTTTACAAGATTTTAATTTACAAATAAAAAACTACACATTTCATTTTTTCTCCTTTTTCTCCTCTTTCTTGGCATCGCTCTTCTCCTTGTCTTTCTCCTTCTCATCTTTCCTCTCCTTTTTGCTTTCCTCTTTCTCCTGCCCTTCTTTCTTTTCTGCATCCCGGTTGGCAATCTTGTTGTTAATGAGGTTGTGCAGGGCAACCACAGACCGGATAAGAGAAGCCAAGTAGACTACCACCATCTGGTCATTGGTCTTCAGGTAAAAGGCCTTGACGAACTCTTGCAGGTTGACATCTGGCAGCAGGTTAAAGACATCTTGAAGGTGGTAGATGATCTGGTGATTGATGGGTAGTTTGCCCATGGCCACTTTCTCTAGGTAGCTCCTGATGTCCAGAAGCTTGGAGTTCAGTCCCTTCAAACCATGGACCTGGTTTGTGATGCGCTGGGACAGAGTGCCCACTGTTGTGTCCTTAATATCTCTGAAACGTCCACAACAGGAAGGAGAAGCATTAGTACACTGCTTTACTGCGGTCATTTATAGGTCTTTCTAGCTTGGAAACGAAGTGTTGCTTGGAAGGGCAGCTGAATTACAACCAAGTTCAGTTACTTAGCAAAGCAATTCAAGTCAAAGATCAAGAAAAAAAACTGGCTGACACTGGGTGCATTAAAAATAGATCTTTAAGTTGCTTTTTATGTGCAAGGGTGTTCTCTTTCTAAATCAGCTTTTCCTAGTTATCCTGGCTTGAGGGACAGAAGACAAGACTCGGGTCCTAAATCCTTTGTCAATGCCTCACTGTGTGGATCTGGGCAAGCTGATCTTCTACAGATTGTACACCTATATAGTAGGTGTAAAAGCTCCATTTTACAGCAGGCTTGTGAGACATCAATTTTCACTGAAGGATCTGAAATCTGCTTTATAAAAAGCAAAGGCAAAACAATCCAAGTTCTTCTTAAGGAAAACAATGCCCATATGGTTTTTAAGAGCCTCAAAGGGTAGAAAGGCTATAAAGTCTGCCTTGGCTGACTCTGTGTTCCTGATTTCAAAAGTAGCAGTTTCCACTATCAATTCAAACAACAAAAAGGCTTCCACTTTGCACTCATCTATAAAGTAAAGTCCTGAAAATGTCTCAAGCTAACTTCCAGCATTCAAGGAACAAGATGAAATTAAAGCTTTTGACATTTTTAGGAAGCAGTCACACTTTACTAGGAAGGAGCTCAGTAGATGACATACAAATCAATACCTCCCCCTCATCCCCCAGCAAGCAGCCGGCACTCTCCTAGATGCTGTAGCACGCCATATGACCCTTGAAGGAGTTTTTCGTTAGAAAAAGTTACCGTAACAAGTGTTCAACACCAACTTCCTCCGCTTCCTCGGCTCCAATTTCACTGGTCACATGTTCAAATGTCTTGGAGGTTGGAGTGCCATCCTTTGAGGTGCAAGAATGGAAGGTGAACAGGGTTACAACTAAAACAGAGTCCAGTGTGCGCACACCCTCAAGTAGCCAGTTTTGTGCCTTCTGCACTTGGAAAAGCAGAAAGCCTCATACAGACCAACATGTTCACAACACTAGAAATAATACTCTTATAGTTCTAATAGCAGGGTCCCTAAGAGTAAATAGTTGCTTTTCTCCACAATGGGCCTCAGACACGCTGACAGAACCAATTTTTAAAAATCTGCCTGGAATCTAGCAAAAGGCAAAGTTGCATGGAAATCTGTCACTGACCTACTACTGCACACATCTACGTACAGTGGATGATGAGTGGTTACTAGAGATAAAAGGCAAGAAACATTTAAAACTAAGATGATGAAGATGCAAATTAGTATCTAATTACTTGAACTATTGCTGTGTCAGCTGCCATTTATCAGTGGTATCTTTAAAGCATACCCAATGCTACTTTTTGCATGGGTACAAGCATGTCAGAAATAGAAGAGCAGTGTTCTAAATCTAAACAGTTTGCCCTACATCCATGCTTCTGGAAAGCAACAGAGTTTCTTAGGAAAAGTAGGGGAAGCAGTCCTTTTTTCAAGAGGATAAAGGATGGAAGTTTGTTGAATCAAGAATTTAAGTTTACAACTGTGATTTAAGCTCTAGATTCAGCAAACTTAACGCAAAGGCACAGGACCAATTAATGCAACATCCCCTACTGGACCGCAAAAGACAAATTGATGCACACCAAGCAATATGTTTTAACTTCTCTATTACTCAGAGTATGCCCTCTTTCAGGAAATCCTAAATGAACTGGAAAATAGCGTGTACTGAACTGTTGAACACTTACATCGTGAACTTCTTCAACTGAAATATAAGCTTCTGTGGGCAGCCCCAGGTCCTTTGGCTTTACATCAATAATTACCAATACCTAGTAGAAAAAACACATGTTTCAGTAAGATAAAGTCACCCGAAGGACTAGATGAAGGATCTCACGGTCAACTATTGGTTCTTCAGATGTTATAAGCCTCTTTAGAAGTTTTAACTGTAAGCGAAAGAAAGATCTGTCTCTATGGTAGGAGTTAGATCTGCACGCTCTACTCACTTCATAGCTGTCAAGCTGCATCTTATTGTGTCATGACAGCAAACTGGAGATTGGGCTGGTAGGACCTGCAGACTGCCAGAAGTTCCATAAGCAGAGTTGCAAGAACGGTACTTACAGAGTTAGGACAGTATCTTTTCATCAGTTCATTGATGGCAATGTCATTCTTGTGTAGTTTGGGGCCTGTGTGGTACCATCCAACTATTCTTTCACTAGCTGGGAAAAAAAACAACCAAAGATTAGAGCCAGAATGACAGGGAAGCATTTCATACAGAGGGATACTAAAGCTCAAATATAACTACTACCTAACCCCAAATTCTGCCCAAGCTTTGAAAGAGAAAAAATGGCTAACTCCACTTCTGTTCTGGATACACATCTGAAAATACTGAAATGGAATTAAATTGTTGCTATATCTGCACACTTTGCCCTATATCCATGCTTCTGGAAAGCAGTTTAGGAATAGAAAGCTGAATCGGTGATGGATGAGGCTGAGAGCAGGCTAGGACCTTAATATTCTTAGCTGCAAGGTTGTTTGGTAAATATGGAAGAATGGGTTTCAAGGGGAAGTACTTGCTAAATAAATAAATACATACTGAATGATTTTTGTACCCAAACACTTTGAGAAATTGGTGCATATTGTATAAATGAAATTCAGGGGTCTGCTAATGAACAGCACACTCACTTCCTTTCTGCACTCCCCTGAATTAACTCCACAGTACTCCATCAGGAGAAGCTTTAGTAATAAGATGCATCTTGGTCAGTGAACTCAGGCTCTGGAACACCTTCCAGAGAAAACAACCTTTATTTAAGTTGGCAAAAGGTGGACTTTGGCAGAAGGGCGTCACCTGAACTCAGTATCCTGACAGCTTGTACAGAAGTAGTCACTTCTATGACGGTGATGGTCCAAATCATGATGGTGTCTTGTTACAATCAACACCTTGACATTCCTCTTTCTTAATCACATGAGCAGTCACATTCTGCTCTTGTCAAAGCTTCTGAGCTGTCTCAAAGGACAGTCTCCCAGGGAAAAGTGTGTCATGTTTTTGGCTGGTTTACTGCCAAGGCATAGACTCTACATTCACCCTTATGTATCAGCTCTAGAAATGTAGGGCTGGAAGCGACCTCCCTGCCAGTGAGTCCAGTTCCACATTACCTATACTGTAGCCTCTCCATATTTAACTAGCCC